AAAGATAACTAATGGTTTATTTGAACAAAGTGGATTTATTTATATACCCATTGTGTTGTAACACTTTTCATTATATTTTTGCATGAACTGCATGCAAGAATGTGGATTTTATTAAAATTACTTTTTTACTTTTCTCCAAGTTTTATTGGTTGGAACTTTGGAGTCTGTGTTTTTGGCTTCTTTCTGCAGTCAAAGATTTAATGTATTCTTTAATATGGGGAATGACATTTTGATGGACATTTCTCCTGATGTGTTTATGAAGAGCTGTCTCAATAATATTACATATGTGTATAATGTAAGTGGTTGTTCAGGTGGGTAGCTGTCTCAGCATGCACAGGCTGCAAAGGAACAAGTAATAGGTTTATTCCATGCTGAAAGGAGAAGTAAGAAAACAACGTTTCATTTGTGCAGCCTTCTTCAGGTGTGAGCGTGTAATGTAAGCAGTGTAAACATCAAGAATGTGAAAAAAATAGATTCCATTTCTAAGCAGAGGTGTATGGTTTTGCATTTAGTGTACAATCATCAGTTGAGAAACATATGACAATGCATAAAATCCTTGAACTGAAGTTAAATTTATTGGTGGCAGTGTTGTGTAAAATCACGTTATAAATTTTCAAATTAATTTATAAAACCCAATCTAATTTTCTTATAGCACAGCACAAGTAATTCTTGTATAAAAAGAAAATTGAACACAGATGGTTAAAAAAAGGTGTTTGGGATTTTTTTTTCCTCATTGAGAACATCAAACAGAAGTGGTTGGCAGCTGAAAAAGAAGGTAGTTATAACGTACCGCAGTGTAGTGTGCTTGTACTCAAATAGAAACTTACCACTGCAAAAGGAAGAAGTGACATTATTTCATATTCATCAGCTGTGTCTGAACTTTGCCGTTTGCACAACCATTTTGAAAGACAAGAGAAATGAACAACACGACCTGCAGTGTGAATGGGACAGCACCTTACCAATACATTTTCACTGCAGTTTATACTGGAGTGATGGTTATTGGTCTGCCGTTCAACGGGATCTCTCTCTGGATTTTCTTGAGGAGACATGGGATGAGGTCTCCGCCTGCTGTTTTCATGACCAATCTGGCTACTGCTGACCTTCTCTTTGTCCTGTCTTTGCCTCTGAGGATCTATTACTATGCCACTTCGAAATGGCCCTTTGGAAAAGTCATGTGTACGATCAGCGAGATGTTGTTCCGATCTAATATTTTTTCCAGCACTTTCTTCATTACCCTGATCAGCGTGGATCGCTTCCTGGCTGTGGTTTATCCTCTGAGGTCCCGGGCAATTCGCACTGTGAGGAAAGCTGGCACGACATGCTTAGCAGTCTGGGTTTTCACCATGATCCTCACCGCCATCTGGGCAAAAAAACACTATGAAAGCCCGGCTAACAATTGTGGTTGTTTTGAGAGTCATTCGGCACAGAACAAAACAAATATATCACCAATGCCTTTGGTATTAGCCATTTTTGTATTTCTTCTGCTTATATGTAATGGATTCTGCACAGTGATGGTTTTGAAAAATCTGCACAAGACACTGACTGGTCAGCTCCTGGCTGAGAAGAAGAAGCTTATGTGGATGTTTTTTCTGAACGTCTTCATGTTTGCTGTATTTTTTGCACCATTTAGCATTGTACTGTTTTTAGCTTTCTATCAAGGCACTGTCAGCAGATTGACTTTGAGGTTTGTAACATGCTTTACCAGTATCAACTTCTGTCTAGATCCAGTCATCTATTATTTCTCTCTAGAGTCTTTCTGGGAAAAGAAAGAAAGTGTGGAGATGGACACAACTCGCACTCAAGATGACATGTGAAGATTCATATACTACACACAGCTACTTGAGACAAATGAATGATTCTGTACGTTTAGTTAGACTTCTTTAATTTCAAATGACTAAAAAGAATGCAAAACAAGGCAGGCTTTATGTGTGCAATTTTTTCATTTTCAATATGCAGATACATAGACTACATAGTATGATTTAGGATTCTTTATTTCCAAATAACTTTTTTACTGACAAAAATACTTGTGAAATGTATACTTTTCCTCACTTCAAATGTTCACATTTATTGTAAAATTATTTTGCTATGTGGATATAACTTTATAACTGACGTCCATTTGCTTAATAGAATTGCCTTGAAATGATAGAAGATCAAGATCACATTAAATTAATTTATTTGTCTTTGTCTTTGACTGGATGATTTAGCTTATGTGCAGCTTAAAGTGCATTACATGTTCCATTAAAACATTTTTGGTAAAAAAAACATGCTTGTAACAGCATTCTATTATTCTTTAAATTAAAAAATGCAAATGCATGAGTCAAGAATTTGAGATTCAGTATATTTTTGTATGCATCTGTGCTACTAGTGCTACTTCTACTAATATATATCTATTGCTTAAGGATATCTTTATATATCGTTACAGGTAGAGGTAGGTGACAAAGATAAATTGTGTAACACCTTGCAGTGTATTCATTTCCAATTCAAGGGGTGGTTGGCTGAGAGGTAAGGGTCTGTCATTTTAATATTAATAATAATAAACTTTATTATACTGTATATATATTGCCTCTGAAAGTGCCTCTTAAAGCACTTTACAGAACAATAACAAAGTAAAAAACACATTAAGAGGAGATAGTAGATTGGGGTATGGAAAAAATAGGAATTCCAAGGGGATCAAAAAAACAGTTAAATAAAAGCCCTTCTAAAAAAGAAGGTTTTGAGTCTGAATTCAAAAGAGCTGAGGGAAGGTGACTCTCTGATGTCAGGAGACCAGAATTTGATGAGCAAAGATTGAGAGGTGGGGAGTAGGACAATAGTAACTCAGACAGGTACTGAGGTGCCAAGCCATACAGAGCATTGTATGTGAGCATCAGGATATTGAGATTGACATGAAACATGACAGGAATCTAGTGAATCCTAGACCTGGTCAGGATTCTGGCTGCCGAACATATTGTAGTTTGTTAAATGTGGATTTAGATACCCTAGTGAGTAGGGTGTTTCAGTAGTCAATATAAGAAAAAAACTTAAGTTTTGACTAGATTTCAGCAACAGTTGATGTTTTGACAACATGTTGTACATATCATATATCATATATATACACATATCATTGCCTAATTCTGCCCTGAGAAACACCAAACTTAACAAAGTCCAGTTTTCTAGCTAAAGTCAGCAAAAGAGACAAAGTGACAACAATCACTGTGACATTGAAGAGCAGTATCAGTAACTGAGGTCAAAAAGAATAAGAAAAGGAACAGAACCAGAATCAGAAACCAGAAGAAGCCATTAGTGACTTTAACCAGGGCAGTATCTGTGCTGTGAAGTTTAACTGTAGATTGTATAGCATTTAGTTTAAAAGGCAGCTTAAAATGCCTTGTCTGTATATACTGTATACATTGTAATTTGTGTGTTGTATGTTTATGTTGTGTGTAGTGTAGTGTGTGTCACTGTTATTGTTAATAAATATTTGTGTAACCAAGTGTGCCTCTTTTCACCAAAGTTGTGCCTGAGAACAAATAATTCATATGCCTCTAACTATATCAACCATTCAGGTATTTACTGGCATCTTCGGAAAGTTGGGGATAATGATCATTTATATTACGTATTGAATAATTCATTCAGACAGATCCTGATATTTCATATTTTTGTAACCCTAACTTAGACCTTCACAGTGGATCCCTTTTTTTCTCTTAAAGATTTGTAAGTGTATACAGCTACAGCGCTAATGGGCTTTTATCGAAAATACATTCACATTTGTCCAGCTGGAGATTCTACTAGAGCAATCGGAGTAGTTTGTAGTTTCAAATGCAGCTTCTCCAAACTGCTGCACCAAGGCAGGAAATAACAAATCATGCAACGGAAATTGCACAAATCAAATTTGTGAATTTGTCTAGATAGTAAATGTAACAGGATATGAAAATAGATTTAACAATAATGCTCAGAATTAATGTGGGTCACATTTTGAGATGAGTGAGGCTAACAGGCTATTATGGACGTTTTTTTATATTTTTAAAACAAAAGCCCATTAAGTGTACAATGCTTTCATAAAGCATCACCAGAAAGTGAAATTGGTTGAATTTGACAAAGTAATATTAAAGCTATTAATTGATCTTGGAATTGGTTTGTTTGAGGATTACGAGATACATCCAAGCCCAGCAGGGTTCAAAGGTGTGAAAATAAAATTGACTGATAAAACATTTTTCATCTTTTAATCACTACAGAGGTAGTTGGCCCTCCACCAGCAGCAACGTACAATTGGCAACCCACTGAAGCTAAGCAGGTGTGAGCCTGGTCAGTACCTGAATGGGAGACCTCCTGGGAAAAACTAAGGTTGCTGCTGGAAGAGGTGTTAGTGGGGCCAGCAGGGGGCGCTCACCCTGCACTCCATGTGGCTCCTAATGCCCCAGTATAGTGACGGAGACTCTATGCTGTAAACAAGCGCCGTCTTTCGGATGAGAGGTAAAACCGAGGTCCTGGCTCTCTGTGGTCATTAAAAATCCCAGGGTGTTTCTCTAAAAGAGTCGGGGTGTAACCCCGGCGTCCTGGCCAAATTTCCCATGCCTCCTAATAATCCCCTCTATGAATTGGCTACATTACTTTGTTCTCCTCCCCCCCGACGGCAGGCGGAGCGACGCGCCGGTTGGAATATTCTCGGTCGCATTTAATGGCGACGTCGGCTCAAAGATTTGGTTCAAACCACCAAATGGAGACAAGCATGTCGACAACGCTAGGATGAGAGAGGGAGATAGTTGGCCTCCTTTATAAACTCACTACTAATTTTTAATAGAAAGAAAATAGTCAAAGAAAGTAATAATATCCTAATGTATTCTCTTTTTACTAGGAAAGTAAAAAGAGAATACATTCTAAAAGCAAGGTGTGTGTGTTGTCAGGTAAATATAACACCTATTTCCGCTTCTAATTATTTTAAAACATTCTGCTAATGGATAATCTAATTGTTCAGATGCTGTGACCAACTGTAGATAATACCAAGATTTGACAAATGCTTGTTTTATGTAAAACAAAAACAGAATTCACATGAATTAGCAATAACCGATACAGCAATAGCAGATAAAGCTAAGTAGGAAGAAACTTGGTATCTACATAGGTCATGTTCACAGGTGTAGGCCACAGAGGAATGCAATTCCTTTAGAAGTAGAAGTTTTGGCTGTGTGACACCTCTGGCTTTTTCTTTGTTTAGTTCAGACCCCAACAGTCTTGTCAACTTCACACTCCAGGCAGTCGAATTTCAGTTTTCAGGCAAAGAGCCTCCTCTCTGAAGAGCTTGTCTATTTGTGCTGTTTATGGCAACAAATGGGCCAATCCAGAGCTAGAGGCCTGTGTGTGTAAAATTCAGAAGGTTCCTGCAGTGAAGTTTTCCACCACTCATTCAGTCAACGACACAACACACAGTGGACTGCCTTCTGTTTGAACTAAATATCCAGCAGTCATATCACCCTGCAACTCACAGCTGGCAGCCCAGTGAACCTCAGCAGGTGTGAGCCTGGTCAGTAGCTGGATGGGAAACCTCCTAGGAAAGCTAAGGTTGCTGGTGTAAGTGGTGTAAATGGGGCAGGAGGTGGTGCTCACCCTGAGGTCTGTGTTTGTCCTAATGCCCCAATATAGTGACAGGAACACTATGCTGTAAAAAGGTGCTGTCCTCCAGATGAGATGTAAAACCAAGATCATGACTTTCTGTGGTCATTAAAAATCCCAGGGCGTTTCTTGAAAACAGTAGGTGTGTTACTCCGGCATCCTGGCCAAATTTCCCATTGGCCTTTACCAATCATGGCTTCCTAATAATCCCCATCTCTGAACTGGCTTCATCACTCTGTTCTCCTCCCCACTGAGAGCTGGTGTGTGGTGAGTGTACTGGAGCTCTATGGCTGTCGTCACATCACATCCAGGTGGATGCTGCACATCTGTGATGGAGGAGGGGATCCCCATTACCTGTAAAGCACTTTGAGCAGAGCGTCCAGAAAAGTGCTATATATTGTAAATGAAAGGAATTCTTCTTAATAATAATATCATAAAATTATTCATTTTAAGTAGCTCACCCTGAGGAAACTACAGTCACAACATGTCAGGTGTGAGGTTAAAAATCCCAGAACAGGCTTTTCTGTTTCAGTAAACATTTTAAACAGACAGATCTGAGGTAAACGTCTGCACACTGGACTCCCATCAAGTGCAGAGTAGTCCCTAGAATAAGCCAAAAGATTAGAAGCCTGGTAAACCATTGTGTGCTGGGTGAACAGACCCCGAGCCTGGGACAGGCCCAAGTCAGGGGACTTGGGATTAACATTTCATATTCAGAATTGTCATTTTATGAATTTAACGTCTGTGTCACGGACGTCCAAAGGGACTAACCGTGGGGAGCAGGAGAGCGGAAAAAGACCCATATGCGTAGCGGCGAGACGGGAAAAAGGCCCGGGCTCATTAGTGCAAAGAGTTCAGGAATGCCGTATAGAAACCTATGCCCTCAGGGAGCAGACGTGGGGCGCCCTGGTGCTAGGCGGGTCTCAGGACATCCGAACAACAATGCTGAGCGAGGACAGAGTCAAAACCCGGAAATATATAGCCCAATGGAAAGAGAGGGACAGGAAGGACAGCAGACCGGAAACTAGGGACAGGACAGAGAAGGAGCGCCCTCTGGCTGCAGAGGGCGTGACAGTCTGTTGACATCATTGATGTTAGCTATACTGTGAACATATGTAAAAGGTCAAAGCTTGTATCGCTGATAGTGTTTTTTTATGTTTATTGCCCTGAGGACAGTATCATTATAGTATATGAATTCCTAAAACTGTAGAGAAGCTACTGAGATACATTTTCTGAGGGTATACTTAGGAAAAATTGTAACTTTGTGAAACATCCAGCTATTACAGTCTGTATCACAAAGGAGGCAAAGTTAATCAGACTCTAAGAAAATGTATTATAAGACTGATATCAAGGTTTAAAAAAGCAAAGCTCTAACCTAAGTGAATGTCGTTTACATAACTCCTGAGCCACAATACAACTCGTTAGGCATATTAATACATAGCAAAAGTAATACGTGTTGTGGCAATATTTAAGATCAAATTTAAATATCATGTTGTCTATTGTTTTGACTCATTTTTTTGTTGTTAGAATTGTAGATAGTATTTCAAAACGTGTGTGTGGTTTGTTTAAACATATCAAGCTCTGCCCAAATAATTCATTTCCTGATTGTTGATTATTAACAATTAGTCACCAAATCATCTCAAAATTAAGCTGGTGCCTTTCAATTAAAAAACACATTATATAATTTTCAAATTAAATTGGGAAAACATGCACACAGTGGTCATAAAATAAATCACTCACATCATGATCTTCTCTTCAAACCAAGTGTCCAGCATTTTAAAAAAAGTATAGAGGTATGCAGATAAATAATCATCTACTGGCCTTCCCAGTGTCATGTAAAAAAATGTTCTTACTATTGTTTGTTACTATTCCAGGTATCTAGAATAAAAACAGAAACCTGTAACCTGTCATTTAAAAAATTATTTCCAGGGGAGCAGCCGTTAGTTAAAGGTCAGATAACCAAAGCTTATCGGAAAAGATGCACAGAAGTCTGGAGTTTTTATAGCTTTCTTCTCTTGTTTGCGCCAAATGCTAAAATTAGAGATACCTCAAAGAGTTGCAGGATGTTAGATGTCAGATAAGTGGATGCTTAGCTAAAAGGCAATGCAGAAGGACAGTTTTTTTTACTTTCATAATAAAAAAGGAAATCATCTGTTTTACTATAAGTGTAGTGTTTTCTTATGACTGACATTTTGATTGCATGCTGAACAAAAATGTTTCTTTAAAGGTTATTATTTAATTACAACCTAAAAGGTGTATGCTGCACATTGGTGGTGGTGGAGGGGAGTCCCCATTACCTGTAAAGCGCTTTGAGTGGAGGGTCCAGAAAAGCGCTATATAAGTGTAAGCAATTATTATTATTAATTATTATTAAAACAACAATGTTCCTTTTTAAGGGAATGAATATTGTGCAGCCTAATGAGCCTAGTGTCACGACTGTAGTCCCTCCCCCCTTAAGGGCGCTCCAGCCCTTTCACTTTGGACTTGATTTTGTGCACCTGTCTCTAGTTCCCAGTCCACCTTAAAAGCCAGGCGCTGACATTAATCCCGGCTCTGCACCTGATCTCCGTATCGTGCGAGTCCAGGACCTGGATGCGCCCGGTCCCCTTTTTTATCTTGTCGGTTTTTGGATGGACCTCCCGGTTTTGGACTTTTGCTTTCGTTTTGGATTCCTACTGGATTGTTTGCCCCGGACGCACCCCCCTGAACACTAGCGCACCAAGGACACGCCCCCCACTGTTTTGATCCCTGTTTCCTGCATGGCTTTTCCCCCAGTGTTTCCTCACTATTCCGAATTGTGTCGTCCGCGTAGGGGTCTGGAAAGAACTGTTCGTTACACATAGCTCTTTGAACATACAACATTTCATTCATATGGTGAATATTGTAACGCAACGGGGGTTCAGGCGGGCGACCTTGCTGCATTAGGTCGGCCCCCCACCGTCGGGGGCTCGAACCCAAGACTCCCGCGTCACTCTGCAGGGACCCAGCCCGGTGAGCCAAAGAGAGATCTCTCCACAGCCCAGTAGCTGTAGTCCTGCTATCACAGGGAAGGGCGGTGACGTCACCTGCTCTGGTACGCCGGCTCTTACACAGTGCCTGTCGGCCGTAAGCTCTTTGGCTCACCGGGCTGGGTCCCTGTAGAGCGACGCGGGAGTCCCGGGTTTGAGCCCCCGACGGTGGGGGGCCGACCTAATGCGAAAAGGGCGCCCGCCTGAGCCCCCGTTGCGTTACAATATAAAGGATCCAGGTGTTTAACTACATGATAGTTTGAATACTGTTTCATTGCCAATGACATTCCTGAATTTGAATTAATTGTTCTGCTACTTGGCTCATGTTTCACTAAATTAAACCATTAGGGTCTTTGTTATATACTACCTATATCACAAGAGGTACACATATAATACCTGGTGCCATATAAAGAATGTAGTAATAACAAAACCCTCAGTAGTCTCATCTGTCCAGGACTACAGAGGTTCGGTTTCTTTAGCCCTTCCAAGACTTTCCTTTAAGACTATAAAAGCTATGAAGTGTCGTAACCACATTTATACACAGTATTCTAAATGAAGACTTATTTTTAAACTGTGAATTTCTAGCCTTTCATACATTTTCTCTCTCAAAATACATTTTACCCAGGAGGTAAAATACTTGCTCTTGTACAAAATCAGGAGGCTGCAAACAACGTCTGACGTAGCTTTTGAGAAAGGGAAAAAAAAGTCCATAACAAGCGTCCATAGAACCTTAGAAGCAGACTATTTCTTCTGCACAACACTGTTCTTTATTATCAAAACCACGTGGACATTAATGAGTCATTATTCTGTGCATCTACACACATGTAGATCATGACTATTTTAGTCACTAAGAGCGCATGGCCACATTAGACAATTACAAGTTGGAGATGAGAAAATACGTTTCACGTCCAGTAGAGCTGTACCACAGGATTGTCAGGTTGGTATATCAATTAATTTCATTTTGAAAGATAACATCAGCTCATTGGTTTGCATTTTAACTGTCCAGTTTAAAAGTGGTTCAGGTGGGTAGCTACGTTAGCATGGGTAGGCTGCAAAGGAATAAGTAATAGGTTTATTCCATGCTGAAAAGAGAAGAAAGAGAATACAATTAGAAGAAAACAAGTCTGTTGTTGAGAGAAGGGGGAAGGTGTGAACCAAGTCTCAGGATAATTTTAGCTTCTGATGTAATTCTGCTATGGGAGTTAAGAAACCCAACTTTGAGAATGCAGATGGAGAGATCAGTGTGATCGTGTCCGTTAGAGGTGAAATGAGAAACTGTGGGCTTGGAGAAATTTTTAACCTTCACAGCCCTAACATGTTCTCTGAAGCGGTCTCTGAGTCTCCTTCCTGTTTCCCCAGTGTAGATGGCTGGGCATTTACTGCAATAGATACAGTAAATAAGGTTGCTGGAGGTACAAGATGTCATCTAGGTGATCCGGAATTGTCCTGAGGGGCCTTGAATGAGTGTGCTGTTGGATGTGTACTTGCAGGTGATAAATTGAGCTCTGTTGCAGGGGAAAGTGTCTGGATGATTGCTGAGGGCGGTCAAGAAGGTTAAGCGGATTAGGTGGTCGGCGATATGAGATGATAGGTCAAGAAATGGTCAATAAAAAAGGAACCAATGAAGGGATCATCCTGTAGGATAGGAAAGTTGTCGGTCCTGGGGATAGAGAGCGTGTAAGAGTGGTAGGGAAGCACCAAAGGAATGTGGTTGTTAGGCCAGGAGTTCCTAATCGAGTTGGTAGTCCAAGGGCTGTTTTTGGCTCAGGTAAGGGCCCTGTCAATAACATGGGTGGGCTATCCTCTGTTGATGAAGAAAGAGTGCATTTTGAGTGCTTGCTTCTGGAAATCAATCTTATCATTGCAGAGATGTCATAGCGGAAGGAACTGTGAAAAGGGAAGAGAGTTTTTAGTGTGTTTGTGGTGAAATGATCTGTATAGAAGATAGCTGTGTACAGCTATCTGAGTCTATGGGTATGTAATAGACCGAAGTAGAGAATCCGGGATGGTTAATGGATAGGTTTATGTCAAGAAACGGAAGACTAGCAGAGAATATGTTAACTGTATATTTGAGAGACAGGTTGGTGAAGTTGGTGAAGTGATGCAGAAAGTGCTCTAGCTGGTCATTAGAGCATGTGGCGGCATAACACAGTCATCAAGGTATCGCTTGTAGAGGTCTAGGACAAAGCCTGGGAGTGCCTGAGTTTCACCTTAGGTGAGGTTAGACCTGTGTTTACTGGGTATAGAAAGGGTCTTGGGAGCTTGATTGATGCATTAGTTAATGAAGTAATCGACTGGTAGAAAACAGCCGGAGGGGGGAGTCCAACAGCTCTGTTTAGGATTAATATTGTTAATTGCATCAATAACCGGGTTGTTGTCAGCTGCCTGTGAGGAGTCATCAGAAAAATGTGTTCCGAAATGAATCCTGCAGTAAAAGTGGTGAGGTCGACTTGGGTTTGGGGGATTTCCAGCTTCTTGGGGACTGGTACAAACCTGAGGCCTCTCCTAAGAGATCGTTTAGCTTTTTAAAGTGAAAGGTCAGAGGGTATAGTAATGAAAAGGTTAGGATTGGAGGTGGTAGGGGTGTTGGTGGGTGAGGGATCTGATGAGGTTATGTGATCGTCGCAGTTCCGCGCAGGCTCGTGCCCCCCACCGCCCGTTCCGCCCCACACACCTGGGGCGTGAACCTGGGTCTCTGGTGTAGTGCCACAGGGAACCAGCAGCATGAGCTAAAGGAGACCTCCACCAGCCCAGGCAGCTGAGGTCCCTGGTACGTGCAGTGAGGGCGCTGACGTCACAACACTAGCTCCGCTACAGTTAGTTATAAAGGGAAGATGATGTGGAGCTATTAGCGATAAAAAGTCCTTGGCTTCTTTGTTGTTGTCAGAAAGGGTAATCTGTTATTTGAGGGAGAAAATGGTAGAAGTTATTAGTTTCTTAGAAAATTGTTGTAGAAGTCTCTGAGTGATACTCTGGGTGGTGTAGGAATCAAAAGAAAAAGTGTTAAATTTCAGGCGAAATCCTTTAGGAATCATATTATATATGTAAAGATATCTGTAAAGAATAGGAGGTGGTGAGAAAGCCTCGTCTTGGAACAGATCGCTGTGAAGAGACGGAATGCTGGTTTAGCAAGTAGGGTGGCAAGTAGCCCAGGGAGGAAGAGAAGGAACAATGAAGAGATCAAGAAAAAGACTTAGAGGAAGGCATAGTGTTTTCTTTCTTCTGTTTTCAGCATGGAATAAACCTATTACTTGTTCCTTTGCAGTTTAAAAGTGGTTTGAAAGTGGTTTCAAATTGAGTCTAAGAGATAAGGGAAGCAGATGGTGGCCATTGATAAACTGCTTGCTTCTTTGTTCTGAAGTGTGTTACAAGCTACAAGTCTGATTACATATATCACACAATTTTATGTCTTAGATTTTATTTAAGAAGCTGTTAATTGATTTATATATCTGTCAGCCACATCTGAACTTTGCCGTTTGCACAATCATTTTGAAAGACAAGAGAAATGAACAACACGACCTGCAGTGTGAATGGGACAGCACCTTACCAATACATTTTCACTGCAGTTTATACTGTTGTGATGGTTATTGGTCTGCCGTTCAACGGGATCTCTCTCTGGATTTTCTTGAGAAGATATGGGATGAGGTCTCCTCCTGCTGTTTTCATGACCAATCTGGCTACTGCTGACCTTCTCTTTGTCCTGTCTTTGCCTCTGAGGATCTATTACTATGCCACTTCGAAATGGCTCTTTGGAAAAGTCATGTGTATGATCATCGAGATGTTGTTCCGGTCTAATATTTTTTCCAGCACTTTCTTCATTACCCTGATCAGCGTGGATCGCTTCCTGGCTGTGGTTTATCCTCTGAGGTCCCGGGCAATTCGCACTGTGAGGATAGCTGGCACGACATGCTTAGCAGTCTGGGTTTTCACCATGATCCTCATCGCCATCTGGGCAAAAAAACACTATGAAAGCCTGGCTAACAATTGTGGTTGTTTTGAGAGTCATTCGGCGCAGAACAAAACAAATATATCACCAATGCCTTTGGTGTTAGCCATTTTTGTATTTCTTCTGCTTATATGTAATGTATTCTGCACAGTGATGGTTTTGAAAACTCTGCACAAGACACTGACTGGTCAGCTCCTGGCTGAGAAGAAGAAGCTTATGTGGTTGTTTTTTCTGAACGTCTTCATGTTTGCTGTATTTTTTGCACCATTTAGCATTGTACTGTTTTTAGCTTTCTATCAAGGCACTGTCAGCAGATTGACTTTGAGGTTTGTAACATGCTTTACCAGTATCAACTTCTGTCTAGATCCAGTCATCTATTATTTCTCTCTAGAGTCTTTCTGGGAAAAGAAAGAAAGTGTGGAGATGGATACAACTCGCACTCAAAATGACGTGAAGATTCACACAGTTACTTGAGACAAATGAATGATTCTGTACGTTTAGTTAGACTTTTTTAAAACCAAAGGACTAAAAATGATGCAAAGTAAGACAATAGTGTGATTTTGGTATCTTTAATGCCAAATAATACGAATTTATAAGGTATGACATCTTATTTTTATGTCAAAAATCCATGTTAAATGTGTATTTTTCCTTATTTCAAATTTTCACATACATACTGCATACCGTTAAATGATTTTGAAACATTAATTATTTATAATTAATCTTCCAAGAAGATCATGATCTAATTCGATTAACAATTCTACATTTATATTTGTCTTTGACTAGATGATTTAGGTTGTAAATGTAAGTGTGTTATATGTTTCCTCAAAATGTAGCATATCATTGTAGTTTCAAATAAAAATGAAAATGTATGAGACAAGACTTACTTTTTTCTAGAATTTGTGATTTAAAACATTTTTTGATGCAACTGAAGAACATTTTTTAAACAGAAATGGGAACATTTCTTTGTCTTAGACTAAGAACATTCTTCTGAATCATTAAACATTTGAATATTTGTAAGAATTTATTTCTATAAGAAAGAGAAACCTTCTGCTAAGGAACCAATATTAAAAATGTTATTTTTATTTATCGTTTTTTGTTTATTTTTGTTTTCCAGAAACTGTTTTTTACTAGCTTCTTCTACTACTCTATAACAATTGCTGTATCCTCACAGATTTTTTGCTTAATCTAGTCATCTATTATTTCTCTATAAAGTATTTCTGCAAAATGAGAAGATGTGCAGTTGGACATAAGTTCCATACAAGAATAGACGATAGATGGGTTATATTAGGCTCCTTTTATGCCATACGACTGAATACTTCACAAATTAAGGCAGACATTTGCATACAATTTATTTTTTTAATGTATTTTCTTCATTTCATATATCAAAAGTTAGCACGTCGTTTAATGATTTGTTCACGTAACTGTCAATATATTTACTGGATTTTTTCTAAAGCATAAAAGAACAGCAAAGGATAAATGTTTTATTATGTGTACTGTATCTATGGGCATTTTATGTAACTTAATGTATTTACATCAAGGGTATGACCAAGGATGGTTTTGTTTTAAACAGATTAAATAAATATTATTTTCAAATAAGTTTTGAGTTTCTTTACAGTATATTCACATGAAGCACATAAAAAGCAAAGCAAAACAAAGCTTTGTCTTCCTAGAAAAATTACATATCTTGTAAGAAAGGTGTTTTTAACATTTCAACTGCTACTGCTGTTAAATTTGTACTACTGATGTTTGCTAATCCAGTCGACAGATTTATCAGATTCTAAATACAGACTGATCATTAACAGCAGATATACTGTACCGAAGGAATCAGTATGTGCTGTATGTGCTGGGAGTGATGTTTAGCACACACAAGTGATCAGTCAGGAAGTATGGAAGTATTTTTATTTGCTGAAGTAAATATCAGCTGAAAGTATTAAAAAAGTGGGTTAAACTTTTCGATATTCACCTCAGAGCAGGCTGGCTGTAAACACTGCTGTAGGGTGGAAACACCCAGTCTTACTTCCTGTGCTGTTGTGGTCACAAAAACACACAG